AAAACAGGTATATAGATCAATGGAACAGAATAGAGAGCCCAGAAATAAACCCATGACTTTATGCTTAATTAATATTTGACAGAGGAGACAAGAACATAAATGGGGTAAAGATAGTCTATTCAATCAGTGATGTTGGAAAAATATAACAGGTACATGCAAAAAAAAATGAAACTAGACCATCTTTTTACACCATACACATGGATAAACTCAAAATGGATTAAAGACTTAAATGTTAGACTCAAAAACTTTAAAAATCCTAGAAAAAAAACAGGCATTAAAATCTCAGAAATTTCTCATAGCAATATTTTTTTCTCATATATCTCCTTGGGTAAGGGAAACAAAAAAATAAATATATGGGATGACATCAAACTAAAATTTTTGCATAGCAAAGGAAACCATCAACAAAATGAAAAGACAACCCACAGAATTGGAGATTATATTTTCCAATGATACATCTGATAAGGGGTTAATATCCAAAATTTATTAAGAATTCATACAATCCAACACCAAAAATCCCCCAAATAACCCAATTAAAAATGGGCAAAGGATCTGAATAGACACTTCTCCAAAGAGGACATGCAGATGATCAGTAGACATATCAAAAGATGCTCAATGTCACTAATCATCAGAGAAATGCAAATTAAAATCACAATGAAATATCACCTCACACATGTCAGAATAACTATCATCAATAAATCAGTAAACAAGTATTGGCAAGGATGTGGAGAAAAGAGAACCCTCATGCACTGTTGGTGGGAATGCAGACCTGTGCAGCCACTGTGAAAAGCAGTATGGAATTTTCTCAAAAAACTAAAAATGGAACTGTCTTATGACCCACCAATTTCACTTCTGGTAATATATCCAAATAAACACAAAACACAAATTTCAAAGAACATAAACACCCTTATGTTCATTGCAGTATTATTTATAATGGCCAAGATCTGGAAGCAGTCCAAGTGCCTATCAGTAGATGAGTAAAATAGCTGTGGTACATTTACACAGTGGAATACTACAGAGTCATAAAAAGAATGAAATTTTACCTTTTGCAACATCTTGAATGGACCTGGAGAGTATTATGCTAAGTGAAACAAGACAGTCAGCAAAAGACAAGTACTATATGATCTCACTTATATGTAGAATCTAATGAACAAACTGAACTAACAAGCAAAATAGAAACACTCATAGATACAGAGAACAGATTGACACATCTCAGAGGGGAAGGGAGTTGGGGGACTGAGTGAAAAAGGTGAAGGGATTGAGTTAAAAAAAAAGTCATAGGCACAGACAACAGTGTGATGATTACCAGAGGGAAAGGGGGGGTAGAAGATAAAAGGGGGATAAATGGTGACAGAAGGGGACTTAACTTGGGTTTGTGAACACACAATGCAACATACAGATGATGTACTATAGAACTGTACACCTGAAACCTATGTAATTTTAGTAACCAACGTCACTTCAATAAATATAAGAATGAAAAAGCTTGCTTTTAGTGTATTTGAAAAATTGAATCCTTTGGGTTCACCTGTGCTCCTACTTCCTTTCATTGGATCTGAATTCGGATCTACCCATTGCTGTTCGGCCTTTCCTTTTTGGCTCTACTGCTCCTTTCTAGTCTTGTTTTCCATTACACGTCTCCCCCTCACATTCTCATGTACCTTACTCTCCCTCACCCAGACACTTCAGTGTTCCTCCAGATGCCCCTGTCTGTGTGGCTCCACCTACCACTGCCTGCTTGAGCCCATGGCCCCCAAATGGGTTTGCTATTGTTGAAATTCTACCCAGTCTCTAAGATCCAGCAGCTCATACACCATTTTTTTTCCATGAAGCTGCTCCTCTCAAGAGGGAGTTCATTTCTGACTCCTCTGGGCTTCTCTTTCTCTGCTAGGACCCTCACCTCACTGAGTTGTTGCACTCTAGGTATTTGTGAGCATGACCAGGGCAAAGATCAAGGGTAAGAACGGTGTCTTGATTATCTTGGCAATCTTCATAGTACGCAGCGGTGCTACGAATACACTGGACATTCAGAATATCTTAAAATTTAAAAACTTGAAATGAAAAGCCTTTTAACTGAAAGCTTCAAACAATTAAGAGAAAGCTTTGTCTAATTTTCACTATTTTACTCTTTCAGACACTGCCTGTAAAGCTTGTATTCTTTCCCACTATATCTACAACACCCTCCTCCCCCCCGAACATCAACACCAGGTGTCCTTTATTGCAGACTATTTCCTTCCAGATAGTGATAAAGGTGTTTAGTCAGAACAGAGTGACACCAGTTCCTTAGGAAGGCTATGGATTGAAAACTGGTAAACAGAAAATGAATGTTGATGGAAATTAATCCCTCTTCTGGAGGCAAGGAGTGTGGAAAGCAGACAATGTAGAAATGAAAAGTGTGCCACTTGAGAGATTACAAATGTGTACCAAAGAGAGCTGAATGACTTTTAACTTGGAGAAAAGCACAGTGAGCATGAGAGAAAAAATCTTAAATACGAGTACTTCAGAAGTCTGTGAAACTGAAACAGTTTTACTGTGGAACAAGACTTGGTTGAGGGGAGGGATGGATAACAAAGTAGTCTGACATTTGAGCAATATGCTAGCCCAAAGGCCAATGCTATTCTACTTTTCCAATGGAAGGGGCACAGAGGGAAAGCTATTACTTGTGTCTGGGTAGAACAAAATTTGAAAAACAGTATTACAAAAGGATGGGTTAAAATCTGAAGCTGAGAACATTTTTAAGGTCACTGGAAATGATTTTTGCAGTGAGTGTCAATGTGTCTCTCTATAAAGTTTAAAGAGTGAAATGCGCTGCCACTGAAGTTTTGTGTAGAATCAAACAGTATGTGTGGAAGTCTGGGGAAGGTATTAAATTTTCAAACTGGATTTATCCCAAAGGAAAATATTTTGTTAATAAGTGTGCAGTTCATCAGAAGAGATATTACTTCTTGAATTGCTTCCCTGTGTGCACTTGAGTAACAATTTAATACTCGATGAATTAAATATCCAGACACATATTATGTATTGACTATCCCAATGAACCACATTATCTACTAAGCAATAAGTATGTGGGAGGATAAATTGGTGGATACTTTGGATTGAGTGGTCAGGGTCATTTAAACTGAGATTTATATGACTAGAGGCAGTCAGCCATTTGGAGATGCAGGAAGACCTTTCCATGTAAGTGCAAAGGCCTCAAAATGGGAATGACCTCGGCTTATTAGAGAACCAGAAAGCAGGTGAGTGAGGATGGAGTGGAGGGGCATGGGGCAGAGTGGTAGGGCGTGAGCTTGGAGAGGAATACAAATCATTTAGTACTTTGTAAATCAGGATAAGGAATTTAGATTCAGTACTTAATAATATGCAAAACTACTGTTGCATTTTAAGGGGAAAAATACCCTGGCTGGTGGTGAGTTATGGATTAGAGGAAGGCAAGGGGATATGGGGTGGAAGTTGGGGGAAGGCAAGAAGTCGACTGGAGAAGCTATCCGGGTTTGGGGAGGTAGTAATGGGGATGGAGAAGAGTGGATGGACTGAGGATCAGTTTGAGGATCAGGCTGTGGTAAAAGAAGCCAGGTGGGCAGACTGGTGCGATAAGCCTCTAGGTCTAAGTGGGAAAACAGCTCCTCTCTTACAGAAACTTTCATTTGTATTCAAGATGTAAGGACCCCAACCTCTTAAATACAGTCTCTTCACAAGTCACTGAGGACCAGGCTTACCACTGGCTTCTGATTTCCATAATCAGGAGGCTGCATTTTTTTTTACCCCTTTATTTTATTCTCTTCCTTGGATATTAGAAATGGATAGTGGATTGGAGGGCTTTTGAGGATGGCTGAGTGTGCTCTAAGGAAAGGCTGAGATAATGCACACAGGCACTTTCCTGGGCAGCCTCGAAGTTTAAGAGGGGCGGTAGGAAGACTTAGTGCTTAGTGCTTTGGTGCTAAGGGTCAGGGGTTTTACATGCCTACTCTTTCATTCCATCTCCAGATAACTTTGTGAGGCACATCTTCTTAAATTCTAGTTTTACAAAAGAAACAAGTGATCCCTGGCCAGGTTGCTCAGTGGGTTGGAGTGTTGTCCTGCACACCTAAAGGTTTGGGGTTTGATTCTTGGCCACGTCACATACCCTGTTGCAGGTTTGATCCCTGGTGGGGGGCATATGGGAGGCAAGTAATTGATGTTTCTCTCTCTCTCTCTCTCCCTCCCTCTTCCTTCCTTTCTCTCTAAAATCAATAAGCATATCCTCAGATGTGTATTAAAAAAAAAAGGTGAGGCTCAGAGAAGTTCTTTATTTTGCCTGAAGTCACACAACTTGTGAGTGTGGAGACAGGACTGGAACCAGAGTCTGGCTCTCAGCACTCGCCACACCAACCCTGAATCACGGCTAGTCTGTTTCTCCTCTTTTCTCATTGTTACCGCACAGCTTCCATTGAAGAAGCCATCCTGGGGAAGGCTACAATTTCTCTTTCTTGTGTGTACTATGTTTGCCTCTCCTATCCCACGGCGTGCCTAGTAATGTGCTCAGTGAACATGCCTGCCTGAAGTCAACACCCGCTTCTTGCGGCCACATATGGGGCTGGGGCGAGTCAAGGCTGGGCTGGTGAGGTGGACTGGGCTGCTGCCGCTGCTGCTAGGAGATGGGTGGGGGGGATACTGTTTTGCCTATGCCTTACCTAAAAGGCATTTTCCATTTCCTAGCCCTCCTGCTCCGCATCCCTCACCTCTAACCCCTCTACTTCAGCTCAGACCCCTCGGGGAGCGTCCTTTACTGCGGGGCTGACAACATTTAGGGGCGCAGGGTACCTGGCCTCCGTGCTCTTGCCCATCTGTGCACAGAGCCTCGTTCCCCAGGAGCCTGGAGCCCAGCGGGCATTGACGTCAAGCGGTAGCGGATCGCTGCCTACAGACGGTTGACCTGGACCCTCCTCCACACCCCCTTCCTTCCTTGCCCCCTCCCTCTTCCCTGCACCCGGGCTCTGGCTGGGTATAAAAGGCGGGAGCGCGGGGTGCCTCAGCAGCGCCGAGTTTCAGCACCATGGAGAGCCCCCGCTTTCGGCTGCTGCCCCTCCTGGGTGCCGCCCTACTGTTGCTGCTACCTCTGCTGGGCGCCCGTGCCCAGGAGGACACCGAGCTCCAGCCCCGAGCCCTGGACATCTACTCTGCCGTGGAGGATGCCTCCCATGAGAAGGAGCTGGTCGGTATCCCCCACGCCCCAGACTCCCCTGGGCTGCCGCGCAGTCCCTTTCTTTGTACCTCCTCTCTTCCCTCCTTCCCACCCCCATTCCTGAAGTCAGGCAGAGCCCGGGGAGATGAGCGCAAAGTCAAGACTGTCTCGAGCCCTCGGGCTCTCGGGCAGCCTGTAGAGCAAATCTCTTGTTCCAGCTCCTCTGAGCTACAGGAGCCTCCGCGGCTCTGGGTCCTGCTGTCAGTACCCGGGACGGCTGGCTTAGGTTCCACCCCTGGAGCATCCCAGGGAGGAGTGTGTGTGGTTCTGGGGCTCCTTATAACGCACCTGGGCTGGGCTCGCAGCCAAGGCGGCAACTTCGGGCTCCGGGGGGCGGTGTGTTGCAGATCGAAGCGCTGCAGGAAGTCCTGAAGAAGCTCAAGAATAAACGCATTCCCATCTATGAGAAGAAGTATGGGCAAGTCCCCATGGTAAGGCTTTGGGGGCACCCCCTTCCCGTGTTTTTGCAAGAGAAAATATACCACCTTGAATCTTACACATGCCTTCTCCCTAGGATGTGGCTAAATAATTCAGGAAATGGGTTTGCAGAGTTCTGTGCCCCTCCCCCTTTGTTTCCCCTACCAGCTTTTGCCCTTGTCTCTAAGGATTTCAGAGGATCGAACAGCATGTGCCAGGAGCCAGCTCTTGGCTCTGTGAAAACAGGAACATTCCCTGAAGATGAGCTTTTTCACCTCACCAAGAATTCTCTCAGTTGGAAGACTCCTCAAATCTACTCAGTTCTTGCTCTTCCAGTTTTCCTCTGAAGCACAGTCGGGTTTTGATATAAGTTCTAGGGTCAAAATTCTTAACCAGGGCTTGTCACCTTCCATGGAGAACAAACACACACACATTCTTAAATCTTCCTTCTTGGGATGAGGGGGTGGAAAACAGGGGGCAGGGATTATGAGAAAATATAGATCTCTTGTTTATTTCTTAGATAAAAGGTCTGGCTGATTTTTTTTTTCTTTTGGATGAGCAATGAAAGGACCCAGAAATGTAGACCACCCCCCACCCTCTGCCAAAGGTAGAAGAAAGGAGGAGGGGCTCAATAATTAAATTTTTTTTTTATGTTCTCTCACTGAAATTATAAGCACAAAGCTCTGTAACATTTTAGGCCTGACTGTCCTTAGACCTCTGGGGATGGTGTTGGGTCCATCCGTCTCTCCCAAGAGGCAAAAATTGTGTAGATGGAGAGATGTGCTCTTTGGGCGCCTGGGTTTGCACATGCCGGAGACCACAGGTTGTGCTGTTTGCAGTGTGACGCTGGCGAGAAGTGCGCAGTGAGAAAAGGAGCGAGAATCGGGAAGCTGTGCGACTGTCCCCGAGGAACCTCCTGCAATTCCTTCCTTCTGAAGTGCTTATGAGGCGTCCACCCTGCTCCATCAGTCCCCACCTCCCCTCTCCCCCTCGAAGACCTTCATCCCCTGCGCTGGGCTGTATCAACCACGTTTCCGTTCCCCTCTGAGGACGAAGGGGCTCCTTTCCCGCTGTTTTCAAATCAAAGAACACACTAGATGTTACTTTATGAGGGATAATGCCTTGTATGGTGTTGACATGTGTGCAAAAGTATTCTTTTTCTTATTTTATTTGTCTGACAAACTCTTGTGTATCTATGCGTAAAGTGGGGGAACTTTGCTTTGAAATTGTATTTTCTTATGTGGCATGGCAGGATGTAAATTAGGTCTAGTAAATGTTGGGTAGGTGACATCACAATGTGAAAAATAAATCACCCCGAGCATTTCAAATTGAAGCATGTATGACTTACACATAATAAAGTGTTTTTAATAATTGCACAAAGTGCTTTGTTGTTTCTACATAAGTAATTTTAAATAGGAATGGTTGGATTAATCATGCAGTTGTTTTCAGAGAGAAATATTTCAAAAATAGCACTCTATTGGGAGAACAGCACCTTGACTCCAAGGAGTTTAGTCATTAATTAGAAGTTCGTCACACAAGCTTTTGTACGCTCTGTTTTTCTTGGATTACAGTGGTGTTTGTGTGTGTGTGTGTGTTCGTGTGTGTGTCAGAGAGAGATGAGATGGAGGTGGTTGGAGTTGAGCTGATACGATTTTGTTTATTAAAATGTTTACTTAGATCCCTTAACTTGAGCCAGTGAGACCAATAAAAGATAAATTGTTTTGTGCTTTAACCACATTAAAAGCAATTTGAAAGGGCAGGGCTTTTGTTTTGGCAACTCTGTTATTAGAAAATGTGCGCTGATGAGTGTTTGTCAAAAGGAAAAGCAATAGCTCTAAGGATGTGAGACCCAATCATTCCCATTAGGACATACACAATGTTGGGAAAACTCTCTGTTCAAAAGAAAAATACTTATTTTAGTAAATAGTTTTGAGGGGAACAAATGCAAATTGCTGGGGGCAGATTCAAGTCAAGAAACACAAACATTTTAATGTAAAGTAGCCTTTAAATACTTCTGAGAGCTTACCTTAGGCCACATTTTGGGGGGGGGTTAAGTAGACTAAGTAACATTTAAGAAGTAACGTTGTGAGAGGAGCAGATGCTTACAGCTTCCTAAAGCAAACTCCAGAGGCACCTGCATAACAGGGTTGAAAAGAAAGTCTTTCCCCTGGTTCATGGGGCCAGGGAGCGTGCTGAAAGAAAATATTCTCATACACAGTTGCTACTGTATGTTCTTATTGCTACTAATAGCATGGCTAATTCCCTTGTTAACCTTGAAAGAGAGACAGTATTACCATTTTTCAGAGGAGGCAACAGAGGCCAAGAGAGGTGAGAAAACTTGCTGGAGTCATACAATCCTAAATCACGATTTCAGCTCTAATCCTTCTGACTCCAAAGGTTTGTCTTTCTCTCCATGTCTCTCCAGACGTTTGCACAGGCTGTTTGGACTCCCGAATTTTCCAGAAAACACTTCTTTATTTAATAGAAATTAGCTCACTGGGGTTACCAATGTATTTTGGGGGGGGTCACATATGTGTTTGAATTCCTCAAGGACAGGCTTAGTTGTGATTTAAATGTGTTAATCTTTATTTATTTATTTTTGGAGAGATGGGAAGAGAGGGAGAAAGAGAGAAAGATAAACATCAATGTGTGGTTGCCTCTCACGCACCCCCTACTGGAGGTACAACTTGAGTTGCAACCCAGGCATGTGCCCTGACTGGGAATCGAACTGGCAACCCTTTGGTTCGCAGGCTGGTGCTCACTCCACTGAGCCACACCAGCCAGGGCTAAATGTGTTAATCTTTAAAAACTGTGAAGAGCTATTTAATAGTTTCAGTCTGCTCCTTCTCCAGAAAGCCTTTCAGTTAAAAGCCTAACCATTTTTTTGACTCTTATAATTGTTCTCATTCATGTCAGCCCTAAATAGCAAGGTCAGGAAATTGTACTCACAGGCAAGACCCTCAAGGATACTGCCTAGAACAGCTTCCAGTTTCAGCCTGGAGTGTCTCTCCGAAAGCAAAGAGGCTGGCGGAATTCGTAGTTCAAAGGAAGAAACAAGAACTCAGCTCCAAAACCCTTTCACTTGTTCCCCACACTCCTACTCCTACTGTCATTCTTTCCTGCTTGTTTGATAAGACTAAAGCATACGGACTTACGAGGGACTGGTGACAGGGAATCTGTGGCCTGGGCATGACAAGGCTTTTCCCAAAAGTTTTGTCTAGGGGCCCAGATTTTTAGCTTATGGTGCTAATGACATCCTATAGTAATGATGGCAGCATGTAATCCCACGTGGCTTGTTAGAAGCAACGTTGCCTTCTCATTTTATCCATATTAGAGCTTTTCTTCAAACAGAATGCCTCCGTGTGTTTAATGATTGAAGGTGCCTGTGGTAGAGGACAAGAATGTTAATGATTAAGAAAATTGTAATGATAAAAGTAGTTGCCCATATGTGAACCCCACAGACCATCTGAGACTGGCTGAAAGATCAGGGATCTGAGAGGTGACAAGCAGCTACCTCTAAAGATCTGGGGGACATCATAAGGCTTAGGAATGACATACCTAGGGCAGTAGTCCTCACAGGAGCCTGGAGATGAGTTGTGAACGTTACTAGGGGATTTTTTCTTCCATTATACACAACCATTTCCCATCCCAGAGTAATTACTGATGCTATACTCCTCACCCTATGCCAGAATCTGAAGGGCTGTGAGGGATACACGCTTTACCTGTGTTCCTACACCCCCTCCCAATCCCACTAACAGTGCATCTGAATCTGAGTATTGACAAAGACTTTTTGTTTGGCCAAACTTTAGTCAGTCTCCTAAAGCTTTTTCCAGACACATGTATGCACTCCTTGTAAAATTCAGTTTTAGCAAGAACCCAGCTAAGTCAGTTTATCAAGGACCATCCACCCTCAATATCTGATCGGGTTTCTCATGCACCACTCCCCCCACCCCAGGAGGTATCTGATCACCCTGACCTGCCTTCAGCAAAGATCCTGTTAGGTCAGTCTAGCCAGAATCCTCCCTTACCCCTGATTTTTCCTCTTAGTAACTTTTTATCCATTGACCCCAACCCTACTCCTTGGCTAGAAATTTCTTCTTGCCTATGCTGTATTTGGAATTGAGCTCCACCCTACACTGAGGTCTTTGTCCCTATTGCAATAGTCCTGAATACAATCTGTTTTTAACTTGAACTATTGTCCAGCTCTGTCTTTTCTTTGATAGTTAAAGGAGTGTAGTTATGGGAGCAATTGGGAAGTAAAGCAAATGTGTTCCACCCAAATTGGTTTTGACTTTACTTGAACTACAGGCTTTAACAAAAAAGAATAAAGCTAAAATCACCTCAGTTTCATAAATTTGGATTTTTTAAATGCTAAACAATCTTGTGAATAGCCCTAAGCACTTGGACTTTGAAGAGAATTGCTTTAAAATTATATATAATATTATAATTATATACTTAAACTATAAATGTCTAATATAACATATTTTGCTGTGTATAATGCACACCCATGTTTTTGTGTGCACTAAACACAGGATTACTATATGCACATTATACCCATGGTATGTAATCATTATACCCATGTATAATGACCATCCTTAAAATTAGGACAAAAAAGTGGGCATTATACATGGCAAAAATATGGAATGCAATTTATAGCATATATAATTTTAAAATTATATAATATGTATATGTTTTTAAGTATGTTATATTTTAAGCATACATTATTTGTACTTATGTTATATATATAAATTATATACATTAATTGCTTCCACACACAATATAATTTCTCTCCTTTTGTATTCTCATTTCCCAGTTTGTATTAGTGGTTAGGACCCAGCTGGGGCTTTCTAAGAAGGCACACTCATGTAGTCTTCATGTTTAAAACCTCTGTAAAGATATAACTGGATGCTCTGGCTGGTGTGGCTCATTGGTTTAAGCATTGACCTATGAACCGAAAGGTCTCCAGTTCAATTCCCAGTCAGGACACACACCTGGGTTGCGGGCCAGGTCCCTGGTTGAGGGTGTGTGAGATGCAACCAACTGATGTTTCTTTCCTTCTTCCTCCCTCCCTTTCCATCTCCCTGAAAATAAATAAATAAAATATAAAAAAGAGAGATATAACTTGAGAGTGGTTCTACCTTGGAACATTTATACTAGCACATGCTTTGCAGGGTTCTGAAGTCTTTTTTTAAAAAACAGTAATTAATTACAATGGCTGGGGTGGCTTAGTGGGTTGAGTCCTGGCCTGCAAAAAGAAAGGTTTCGGGTTTGATTCCCAGTCAGGGCACATGCCTAGGCTGCAGGTTGGGTCCCCAGTTGGAGGCATGTGAGAGGCAACTGATCAATTTTTCTCTTGTGCATTGATATTTCTTTCCCTCCTTTCCCCTGTCTCTAAAAATTAAATTCTTTAAAAATTAATAATTAATTAACACTTTATTTTTAATTATATTTTATTGATTATGCTATTAGAGTTGTCCCAGTTTTTCCTCTTTGCCCTTCTCCACCCAGCACTGCCCACTCCCTCAGGCAATCCACCCACCATTGTTCATGTCCATGGGTCTTGTGTAGAAATTCTTTGGCTACTCAATTTTTTTATTCTGCACTTTACATCCCCATGGTTATTCTAAAACTACCAGTTTGTACTTCTTAATTCTCTCACTTATTCACCCATCCTCCCAAGGTCCCCTCCCATCTGACAATCATCAAAACACTCTCTATGTCCATGATTGTATCTCTGTTATTCCTGTTTACTTAGTTTGTTTTTTTTTAGATTCAGTTGTTGATAGGAATGCATTCATTGCCATTTTATTGTTCCTAGTTTTGCTCTTCTCCTTTCTCTCAAATAAGTCCCTTTAACGTTTTATATAATATTAGATTGGTGATGATGAACTCCTTTAGTTTTTTCTTGTCTGGGAAGCTCTTTATCAGCCCTTTGATTCTAAATGAGAGCTTTGCTGGGTAGAGTAATCTTGACTGTAGGTCTCTGCTTTTCATGACTTTGAGTATTTATTACCAACCTCATTTATCCTGCAAAGTTTCTTTTGAAAAATCAACTGGAAGTCTTATGGGAACTTCCCTGTAGGTAACTAACTTCTTTTCTCTTGCTGTCTTTAAGATTCTCTCTTTATTTTAATCTTTGGTGTTTTAATTATGATGTGTCTTGGAGTGGGCCTCTTTGCATCCATCTTGTGTAGGACTCTCTGTGCTTCTTTGACTTGTGTGTCTATTCCCTTCAAAAACTAGGGAAGTTTTCTTTCATTAATTTTTTCAAATAGATATGCAATTACTTGCTCTTTCTGTTCTCCTTCTGGCACCCCTATGAGGCAAATAGTGAACTGCTTGAAGTTGTCCCAGAGGATCCTTACATG